TCCACAAAAGAAAGGCTGGACTCAAATCAATGGTGAAAATGTAGAGTAGATGTTGTACATTTATTCAAACAAAACTATGTAGATAAAGAGGTTTCCAGATTTCTAATTATCCTCTTTTCTAAATATTCTTCTTCAGATCAAGGTTTTAATCTATAACACAAATAAACTCCTTATGAAATAAAATGTCTTAAACCTCCATTACAAGGCAACCTCTTATATATTATCAATTTCTATAACAGTTACAATTGCTACTGCTTACTTTACCCACAAGAACATTCAAATAGTACAAAATGTTTGACTTATTACATTAATTACAGCACAGACACAGCATGCCAACCTCACGTCAGGAGGAAGTCTCAACAACATTTTAACAGCACAAAACATTTGGCTTATCACGTAAGTACCACATAGGCACTTGGTGATTTCTGCCTGTCAAGCTCCCGGCAGAAACAGAGGTAGTTTGCCATTGCTCACATCTGTGTAGAGGCCCTGGATTTGCTTGGTGGTCTCCCAGCTGAGTACTTACCGGGACTGACCCTGCTTTAGTTTTGAGATCTGACAGATCAAGCTAGCCTGGGGCATCCATTTCAAAGCCTCTAGCTCCCCATAAGGTGTCGCGCTGCGCATTCCCAGTTGAACCGGTAACTTTAGAACGTGTAGCACACCTTAGCAGAGTTCCACTCACCAGCTATTCCCAATAGCACACCACATAACACAGTCCAGTGGTTACTATTTACAGGTAGTTTATTTACAGATATATACAGCTCACAGACAGAGTGCTTCGCCAGCATCTCATTACAGGGGAGAAGACACTGAGCATAGGCACTCTGAACATTTATACATGGTACAGCCAATCAGCACAGTGCTGAGTCATGGTGACTTAGTCCTTGCCCAGACATTTACAAACAGGATCAGTCTGGTCTAGTGTCACATGACATTCACCTGACAACTGTCAGTTAGATCAGGATCATCTATGCTGAAGCTTATATATTGACATAAGGATGTAGATAACTCTGCGGTGTAGCTCTCAAGATCAGAAGCAAAGAAGAAGAGAAGAGATTGGATTTATACCCCACCCTTCACTACCCAAAGGTGTCTCAGAGCGGCTTACAAACTCCTTTCCCTTCCCCTCCCCACAACAGACCCCCTGTGGGGTAGGTGGCTGAGAGAGCTCTTGACAGAAACTGCTCTTTTTCAAGAACAGCTCTTATCAGAACTATGGCTTGCCCAAGGTCATCCAGCCAGGTGCAAGTGGAGGAGTTGGGAATCAAACCCGGTTCTGCCAGATTAGAGTCCGCGTACTTAACCACTACACCAAACTGGACCAGGCCTAATTGCCAGCAGCAAGAGTGGTCATAAATATAACAGTGCAATGCTGTCTTATACTGTCTAATGGCACAGTTTTATAGCCTGAAATCTGCCTTCAGTCTCAGCAAGAAAGACAGGCTATAAATGAACTAACTAAGTAGATGATGCTTATCTTTAATATATGCAAGTAAACAGAGCCAAGGTCAGAAAAGAGCATTTCTAAAAGTTAAGTGTTATTGAATGTGATAATATTATGTCCATATTTCAAATAAATATATAAATCTTTGAAAAAATTGAACTGTTCATTCATTAGCATACTTTCAGGATGCTGGTCCTATTTGTCTTCTTGAGAAGAGCTGGATTTAAGTCCACTAGCACCTTTGACAACATCAAGATTTGGGGGCTATGAGCTTTCAAGAGTCAAAGGTCCCTTTATAATTAATGTACTGCTATATTTTCTTCATTTTGTTAATACACTGCTTTTTGTATTATTATATGTTTCCTTTGAATACTCATGTTTTTGTTTTATCAGAGAGGGATGAAAAAGAAGGAAGGAGTATTTGTTGATTATCATTGGGGAAATATGAATCTCCCTCAAGCTCACTCAAGCAAGTCTCTGTAGAGGCAGTATATAACTGTTTGAAACAAGGATTCTTCTAAATAAAAGACTGGAGAATTTTTTAGCCTTAATGAGTATTGCATAATATGTTTTAGAAGGGGGATTTGCTAAATGTTCTGAAATTCCTTCTGTACAATATCGAGAGTTTGCCTTCTGGGGACAATCTGTTGCCCCCTTATATAAAACCTCTTTTGTTTACTGTTCAGGTGAAGTGGCAAGAAATGATTGTTTCCTTCGGGAAATGTTAGTTATTTCTCATGACAGCTAGACAAATGTACGACAGCTGTATGGACTTACTTCTCAATCATTCTTCATTGATGCCAGGTGATGATTAAAAATAATTTATATATATACATACATACTTATTATTCTAATGACACAGCATAGAATTATTTAAAGATTGCATGTTTCTCCAAAACTATTTCTGGGGCAATATATAAGGCTGGATTCCTTTCATTTCCTTTTATCCCCATAGAAGTTCATTGATTCACAGATCTTGAGCAGCAGAAGATACTTGCTTTTTATTTTTTTAAAGCAAGGGCTAAAAGGACTGAGACAAATTTTGCAGTTGCTACAGTAAACTTGGGATCCTTATCGCTGAGCAAAAGAGCCATGGTTTCCAGGGTGTAGGGGGATGGTTGGTTGATTAATGGCTTAATATAGTGATCCCTTATATTCTCAAAGAACTTGCATTCAAGCAGAGCATGGAAGGATGTATCTATTTTATTAAGGGCAATTATTAAGGTCCTTATGTACTATCTTACCATCCCACATTATGTACTATCCCCAATATGCACCCCCAATATGTACTATCTTACCATCCCACATTACTGTATATATTGTTTGGTTACAAGATTGAATATTATTCCCAGAATGGTTTTACAAGGGAGATTTTTGAATAGGCCCTATTCTGACAGAATTTGCCCTTGATAAGGCCCAGAATTTGCCTTGATAAGGCTCTCAAGGCCCAGCCAGCTGTATTCCAACTCAAAATATGAAGTCCACAAGTCCCACTTAGTTGGTTTTTAGCTACTGAAGTATCTAATGCTGGCAACTTGGGGTATTCCTTGAATTATAATTTTTGGATGGAGAGGAACAGGGATTTTTTCCTCTTGTTGGGCTTGGATCAAATGGCTTCTTACTAGTCAGGGAGTGGCTGATTACATTCCAGTAATGCTGGATTCAATGATGGCCATAAACTGTCAAAAGCATTCCATCAAATTAAGTGTCCTTCATTCAGCGGATGAGGGCCTCCTCTAAGAGAAAGCCTCATTTTTACAAAAGATGGGATTGTGACAATATAACTTGCTTGTAGTCAAGTGTCCTGTTATTCTATTCTGTTATACTAATGACACCACATAGGACTTTTTAAAAGATTCCATGATTCCCAAAAACTACTTCTGGGGAAAATATATAAGGCTAGATTCAATGATGGGCAGACATAGTCAAAAATATCCAATCAAATGAAGTAACCTATGTATGGTGGATGGGGGCTTCTGCCAAAAGAAAGCCTCATTTGTACAAAAGATGTAATTGTGACAGTATAAACTGCTTGTAGTCGAGATCTATGCGTAAATATGGCTGATTTTCCAATTCAAGCCCAAATCTATTTAATAATCTTAATTTATAACTGTTATGAAACCTGAGGGGAGTTCTATTATTATGGTTATGTGGTTTTTGTTGTTTGTTTGCTTGCTTGATTTTAAGAGCCAGCTCTTGTCTAGCACCTACTGATATAAGGTGGAATCAGTGGCAATTGTCAATGCAGTCTGGATCCAACCCAGTGTTTGTACCCTTTCATATCATTGAGCTGGCAGCTTGATATGTAAATGAGTGCCCAGTTATTTTCTATTCAGAATACTTCCATGATCAATTGGAGCAGGTATCATGCACTGTTGGTTCCAGAACACAGAGAAGAGCTGTTTTGTGTAAACTAGATTGTAGGGTTGCAGTTCAGAGGGTTTCCTAATTTAAATTCTACTCCTCTAGAAACCCCTTACAGACTAGGAATTTGCATGGACAAAATCGGCTACCCACTGTCAGCCTTACATACCTGTCAGGACTGTTGTTAGAATAAAATAGAGGATAAGAAAATTATGTAAGCCATTTTTGGTTTCCACGGAAGAAAAAGGTGTGGTATAAATGAAGGAAAACAAAGCCATTTTACAGCCCAACATTAACAATGGATTGCAGTGCCATTTTTAAATGGTGTCATCAAGTACCAATGAGTTGGTCTATTACATGAGGTAAGAGCTGCACAATGAAATTCATAACAGAAAAAGACATTGGGGGTGGTTTCCACATGTCTAGATAAAACGCATGAGAACATTGTATAAATCTCAGCTTTATTTATTTTATTTATTTATTTATTCAGGTATTTCTACCCCACCCTACCCCGCGAGCGGGCTCAGGGCGGCTTACAAAGGCATAAGCCCATACATAAAATTTATAAAATCCGATAAAATCACACATCACAACCAACATACTAATAATAATAATAAAGTGCTTTAGATTCCAAGATGGTCTGCAGCTGACACCTGCAGGGAATTACCCTTGCAGGCTTTAATCATGATAGATCATCCTGGTAGTCCAAGCTAAATGGCTGATCTTGCTGTCATATAGATAGCGCCGGGCTATCAAGGACACTCCAACTTGGTGGTCTTTCCCTCGTTGGTGGTGGTGGAAGCGGCGGCCCCTACATAAAAGCCTGGTGGAAGAGCTCCATCTTGCAGGCCCTGCGGAATTGCAAAAGATCCCGCAGGGCCCTGATCTCCTCCGGGAGCTCATTCCACCAGGTAGGGGCCGCCACTGAGAAGGATCTTGCCCTTGTCGCGGCATACCGTATCTCTCGGGGGCCCGGAACCACTAAGCGACTCTGGGTCCCCGACCGAAGTGCTCTTGGGGGTGTATACGGGGAAAGGCGGTCCCTTAGGTAGGTCGGACCCCGGCCATATAGGGCTTTAAAGGTAAGCACCTTTAACTGTGGTAGAGCCAGTATAACAATTTCTAGGCTTTGGGTCTTTCAGTTGGAGATCTTATGATTTTTTAATTTTCATTTTCAGTGATTCAAACTATGAAGCACATGGAGACAGACAATAAAACAGTAGTAACTACATTTATTCTTCTCGGATTTGGGAATGCCCCTGGACTTCAGATTCCTCTCTTCCTGCTTTTCCTAATAATTTACTGTCTGACCATTGCTGGAAATATCATCATCATTGTGTTAATAATCACGGATCATCACCTTCACACCCCCATGTACTTCTTCCTTGGAAACTTGTCCTGTTTGGAGACCTTCTACACTTCAACCCTTCTCCCCAGGTTGTTGGTCAATTTCCTGACAGGGGACAGAACCATTTCAGTTGGGGGGTGCTATATCCAGCTTTACTGTGTTGGTTCACTTGAGACTGCTGAATGCTACCTACTGGCATCAATGTCATATGATCGGTATTTGGCAATATGCAACCCCCTCCAATATGCCACTCTCATGAGCAGAAGACTCTGCTTTCTGTTGTCTGCTGTGTCTTGGCTTTGTGGGATGACAGCTATGACTTTAGTAATCAGTTTGATGTCAAAGCTGAAATACTGTGGCCCCCATGACATTGACCATTTCTTTTGTGACTTGATGCCAGTGATTAATCTATCATGCAGTGACACAACTCTGGTGACACTGGTGGGCCTTGCAGTATCTTTCATAGATATTGTTCCTTCTTTTCTTCAGACCCTGCTGTCTTACTTTTGTATAATTGTTGCGATCGTACGAATCCCCTCTTCAGATGGGAGGAAAAAGGCCTTTTCCACTTGTTCTTCCCACCTCATTGTAGTTTCCATATTTTATGGTTCATTGATATTTGTATATGTGCTACCACAAAAAGAAGCTCTAAGAGAAGTGGACAAGATCTTCTCAGTCTTCTACACAGTCTTAACCCCTCTAATTAATCCTCTTATTTATAGTCTAAGAAACCAAGAGGTAAAAAAATCTTTTAAGAGAGCTGTAAACAAGTGTAGGATTTCCAAGTGATTTGTTGGAGATGGAGAGTAATTACTCCTCTGGAATCAAACTTGTCTGGAATGAAATCTAAAGGGTGGAACAATTTCTTGTATGTTCCTTTAATTGTACCCTTTTTATTTATATACTTGAGTTTTCAGTTTTAAAAGTTGAGGCACAATGGAATGGAAAAAAGAGCCAAAATAAATAAATAAATAAATCTGATTTCTTCCCAAATCCTCTTTATGCTGCTGTTGATTCAACTGTCAACATAATGATAGCAATAGGAATATGTTGAATTTCAGGTACTTTCCCACAAATATATTTGCCACCCAAGATGAAATAAGAGACAGACACAAGTGCTGGGTTTAACTATTGGGCCACTTTATTAAATGACACCTTAACTGTAACCAACGGCAAGGGCAAACAGTTCAGCGGTATGATCAAGTCCCGGGGGTCTCTGACCCCTTCCTTAACTTTTGACATAGGGCGAGCCACCCAACCCCAGGCTGGAGCCGGCCCAGCTGGTTAGCCATTACAGGATGACCCCATAGCCCCAACTCCCGAGCCGCTATGTTCAAAGAGAGGACCAAACGG